AATAATAGTAATAATTATATCACCACTACATGTTATCATATTTAGCAGTTAGTACTTTGTTATAAGTTATAAGTCGTTGAGTGTCAACGTAGTATAATGTATAAGTAATGTTCATGTCATACAATAGTATTATAACAGTGTCATAGTTTATTTAAAATATATTAAATACAACATAGTATACAACAATATACGACGATTACATTGACAATGATTACAAAATGTCAAGTCCGTCACGGTGGTCTTATAGGTCTTAACTTGTAAGAAATAAACAAATAAAACATTTTAAAAACAAATCAACTACATAGGTAATTAAACAAATTACCACTATACAAATTATTAAAAACAGTTTTAAAATTACTGAGAAACGAAAAATGTCCTTTACTCGGGAAAGAGGAAAGAAACTAGTTTTAAAGGGACTCCTTTCTCGAAGCCAAAAACGACGAGTAACGATTTAGTTATTTTTCAACAAGATGAATGTGAACGTGAACTAATTGCGTTTTTATAAAGGAACTTTCCAAGCACTGGCGGTAAATGCAAAATCAATGCAGACGCGTGATTGTCGATAATCGGCAGGTACTTCTTCTACTCGGAGGAGTGGCCAACTGGTACTTACCAGCCAAACTGCCCATTATAACATTACAAAGTCGATTTTACCTGCAATAATTCACATCCCACAATCGCTACAATTATTACCAACGCAATACCTATACACGTCTCGTAATGATTTTTATTGATTGTATATTGGGTTGCCCAAGCCGGCTACAACCTAACCTACCTATTACGAGTAGGTATACACCTATACGGCGGTACAGTAATTGGTTCCAAAACCGCACGAGCTATCAACATTTTAGTTATGGTTTTCGTCAAAAGTACATTCGCGCGGTATACTATACGCCCCATTAACACGTAATACTATCAGTAGCAGGTATAGTTGGTAAGTAGCCCGGTATGGGTACCAATAATATATAATTGGTCGGGCTAGCGAACTTATTGAGCGTTTAAAATTAAATACCGCGGCGGTTTTTGAACAATTAAACCTTCGGTGGCGTTTTTCATAGGTAACTGCAGACCTATATTCATCATAATTCATATATTTAGCGAACGTAATAGATTTGAACGGTGTGCACGGTTGCGCAATTTAACCTTTTTGCATCCGAAAAAACACGACGCGATTGCGTCGTACTAATTGCAAAAAGGTAAGTTCACAATTTTTTTTCCCAATAATTTGTATTGAGAAATAATTTAAATACGATGGAATATCAATTATAGAAGCTTGTTACTTATCAGCTGTTATTTATTATTATTATGTGTATAAACGTGTTATATAATTAATTTAATACGTATACCTATGGATAAAAAAAAAGTAATTCAAGAGAGAAAAAATTGAAAAATTACATAATTAGGTATTTTATTAAGTATAAATGAATCTATGTAATAATCATTGAAAAACAATTATTCATTGACTGTAATAGTAATAAGTACATAACGCACGTTTTGGTCATTAAAAAGCCATATAAGTATGGAAAAATAAATTGTATTATTATTTTATAAACTATATATTTATTGCCAACCTATAGGTATATACTTAATTACTTTTTATATTTTATATCATGACGCAGTATGAAAAGAATCATACAAATTGGCGATAACATTATCCTGTACTTCTAAAGAATTGTGCGATACGCAACCGTTTTTTAAAGTGAAAAGGTAAAAATATACGATCGAATTAAACTGAAATTCGAAGTTTAAGAATTATAATTTTTAATTATTTTAGTAGCTCGCCGGAGCTTCCCTAACTGAAAGTTGATCGAGATCGCGTGCTGGGGATGCTGTCTAGCTGTACCCACCCAAAGTGGCTAAATCCATCTATGTGCATTGTGCATGTAGCCTAATCCATCTAAGTATAGTGTGTAACCTATACCTATAGTATATATAATTATAAATATGTATTACAAATCCAAATTTCTTACGGTTAAAAAACACTGAACATTATGTATTTATGTTATTGATATTAATTAAAATTAAAAAGACAAACCGTATTTTCCGGTGGTGCTGGATACTGCTTTATCAACAAATTTATCCTGACTTGCAGAAATTCCCAGCACTTGGTCTCGAGGGCAGGATCGAGAGTACCGTCTAGTAATGTTAAGTTCAGGCAATGTTTCTCTTCCATTTGTATCCAATCGTCCAAGGTTTCTGACGAACAAGAAATTATATAGTTATTATATTGGAATACTTTGGCGTCAAGGCCAAAAGTCGTGTGTTACAAGCGGGGTACAAACAAGTATTAATAGTATATCACATACGTCTCGTATCACGCTAACTACCAGCTATCTCCATGAAAAATCATTATATTTAAATCCAGTGGCGCAATTTGGTTTACATTATTGTTATTGCAAACTTCTTATTATGTTATAGTGGAAATTGTTCAATCCCCACTTATGTTCTTTAATGGCCTCAAATCTCAATCCTCTGATATAAAATAGGTAAGAGTAAAGAAATAATTTTTTTTTTTTAAATTGTCAATAAGATATTTTTGAATTTAAACCCAAAAGTAATTCTGAACCAAGTATAAATAATATTAAGCAGGTGTAACAATCGTAGTAAAAATGTTTTGGTGTTGCAAATGATACACTTTTCACGCCCCAATTGTGCCACTGTTTAAATCACACATTCAACAGTAATCTATGAGAAAATTCAAATTTATAATGGTATAGAATTCCAAGAAAAAAAATGTTTTTTTTACAATTCATTTTTAGAACGATTTTTAATTATATTTATTGAAACATTTAAACAAATATTAAAATCAAGTAAAATTTTTTCATTGATAATCCGTAAAAATATATCCACGTATTTGTGGAGCTTTCAGTGCAATTTTCAAAGATAAGTTCATTATTTAAAAACAGTAGTTTGGCTCTGTAGTAGTTCTACTAATAAATAACAATGATTATTTCTTCTAATTAAATATAAATTTTTTTCGGATTATCTACTATGAGTAGCTGTTGTAAATATCCAATAATTAAATATACCGATTTGCTATATTAAGATACTTTGGTGACGAGAGTTTTGGGAAAGATGAGTACCTATATCAATATCTATTATATCCACAAAAATGGAAAATAAACATTTATTTAAATTGTAGAACTATTTGAAAGTATAGACATTTTCATATCGGCATAAAACGGAATAAAACTCATCCACCGCGATTCCAACACGAATTACCGCGATAACCACCCGTACTATACAAAGCATGTACACATATTATAAAACACATTATGTATTAATAAAAACACTCATAATTTAGTTATACGAATGTATAAAATATCGTCAAAAAAAAAAAAAAAATACACATCGCACTCTTCCGCGTTTCGTTCGCAGAATCTATAAGACTTACGGATATATCGTACGATAATCATATTATATACCGAAATATCGCCGGCCCGAAGCCGGTGCGTATATTATGCTATCGGTGTACGTACTTTGGTCCATGTTGAAGATGCGGACGAACGCGAGGAGCTTTCCGTCGACCGGAAACGGGCCGGGCGTGAGGTAGAACTCGGCGAGGGCGGGCAGCGAGAGCGTCTGGAGCAGGCGGTACCGGAGCGAGTAGAGCGGGTCAGACCGGGAGACGCCCAGCCGTATCTTCACGGCGTCGTGTTCGTTGTCCGGGTACACGAACCCGTTGTGCACCAAGAAATCCGCGTTGGTCCGCACTCCGTAGAATATGTAAACTTGCTCGTCCGCCGCGTAGTCGCCGTCCGCGTAGCACACGCACACGTTGCTCGACTTGACGAAATCGGTCGACAGCTGTACACACACACACACACATACCGATTATAAACGCGACCCGTCGTGAGAAATTCGTATTGCGGTCTATATTGTTATTATTGTTGTTATCTTTGGCCGAGGGATTTGCCTACTGTTTTTGTGAGCACCCATCACGCGCTATTTTTCCGAGTGATTTCGTATTCGGATATACCGGGGATGGACAACTCAGAGTAACTAGAGGGCCAATTTTTAGAAATTTAAAATCTAGCGGGCCAGAGCATAGAAACTAAAAAAAAAAGGTCATTCAAAATATACATTTTAATTAGCATTTATTTCGTTATAATTAAATAGGTAATACAAAAAGCGTTATTGAAAATAATTTAATTAAATATTTAAATATAAATAGTTATTTGCAGTTTAGTGAGAGTTTTGAGGAGGTGTGGTTTCTAATGACAACGCGGCAAAATCGACTTGTATACCTATACCTAATGCAATTTGAAAATGTAACGCGGGCCAGATAAAAAAGGCTCGCGGGCCGCCAGTTGCCCATCCCTGGGATATACGAACGATTTTCAGAATTTTCAACTTAGCTGTACTGTGTTTCAAAGGTGGGCATTAACTAGTTAAAAAGTTAAAGTGTTAATTTTTTTTAACTTTTTAACTTAACTAGTTAGTTTGTTTTCTAATTAACTTATGAACTTAACTAGTTTAATTTACAGTTGAAATAACTTAGCTATTCTCAGTTGATTTAAAAAAAAAACCAATAAGTTAAAAACTTTTTGAAATTTTAAATTATTATTTTGAGATGAGTATAGTTTAATTTAATAAATAATAAAATTGTAAAAGGGTACACAGTGCACATTATGATAAAAGTTAAATCAAATTGATTTATAATTTATAAATTAGAAACTAGAAAGACACATTCACTTTTTAAGTGATTTAATTTTAAAAAAATAGATTAACTTTTTTTAAACTGAGTTAAGTTAATTTTTTTTCCTATATTAACTTTTAACTTATCGAGTTAAGTTTATAATTTGTTAACTGTTAACTTCTAACTTATCGATCTTGTGTCCTCTTAACTTAACTTAACTTGAGTTAATTATTTTCGTTAACTTGCCCACCTTTGCTGTGTTTACTGCATACGGTTATGATTATGTCTACATAAAGACCATGCTTTCAAAGTCGGCATTTAAATGTAAACTGTGGCGACACAAGCTTGTTTCCTTCAAATGATTAGGTATCTACATCCCTTTATATAAACGCTGTTAAGCCCAGCTGATGTCGACTCATTTTTAAAAATATCGATTCGTCTATTGAAATAAAAATTTGAATAGTATAGTTTCTTGTATACTAATTCTACTTTAGGTATAGATATGTACCTCCTACTAAGGGTAATCTGGGTTGTGATTTTTGGATGATTAGTGATAACTGACTAGTATCAGTTAACTGCAATTTGAATATAATAATATTATACCTAAATGTAAATATTATTATTTTAGAACTCATGATTAAAAGTATTTAAAACATAATTGAAAAATTAACTTGACTAGATATTGTACATATTATTTTACCGATTAACACCTATCTTTTTAATTTTAAAGTTAACGTTCAATTCATTATTGTCTTTAGTAGGTACGTATATAAAGTAGAATAACAACTCAATATCAAGATACATTAACATTAAAAAAAATCTGTATCACCATTTAACTGTCTTCGAGTGCCGTAAAACGTGTAATTATTTGAAAATATGGTCTTAAGAAACTCTCTTAAAAATTCTAAAAATCAAAAATTAAATAAACGGCGGGATTAGCATGTATGCAAAAGAAGCAATCACCCCGTATTTATGTACTACGTGTAGCCGTGTAGGTAGTACCATGTCCAAGATAAATTTTGTAACCCAACGATACGGTTAAATACGAGAAAAAAAGTCCCACCTCAATAGATAGGTGTGCATGTTTTAAACCTATAAAATAGTAAATACTAATAATTATGACGGGCCGGAAGAATTGTTATATTATTGTTGCACTAAAAAAATAACCTCAAACTACATCTACATGTGGTCACGGCTATTGCACCACGCCACCACTGCGTAAAATAAATGAAATTTTCACCGAGAAATCTGAAAATGCACTATAATTTCGAACCGCGTACCCATGTATAGTCGGCATTCTACTCGGGTACTCCACCCTACGTCCCATAATAATAAATATAGGTACCTAATACGTACGTACACACCGAGTACACATACTAAAATATGTAATATGTTACTGCACGAGATAAATACTCACATAACAATTTTCAGACTTTGTCTGACCTTTTTTAAGACGTGGGTAAGTTAATTTTTTGTACATTGTCCCTTCGTTTTTGGCTTCCGAATTTACACTGAAAATAGCAGCCGTGACTCAATCCCCCCAAACTCAAAGATCAAGTTAGGTCTATAACGATTTGAAATGGCTTAATCTATAATGATGATTTGTAAGCAAATCGACCTCGTCGCGGTTATGATAGCCGTAACGTATATAGGTACACTGCTTGTTCGCCGTGAGATAACCATATACCACGTCACAGAAAAAAATAAATTACATCACAATAACAGCATTTGTACCTATGTGTATAATATATACAAACATAAAAAAAATAAAATCAGTTGACTTCGAATTGAAGTTTGCGGTTTGAAAAAAAGCTATTGTCTTATACTTGTCATTATAGATCATTCACCTGTATTTATATTGTATTATAAATAAAGATAGGTATTATTTAACATATTTTATATAACATATATGAGTATAAGACAAGAGTACAAAAACAAATGCACGACCACAGCATATGAGCAATTTCAGTTTTTATCTTGGGGAGGGGGCTATCCATATATGCAAACAATCCCGTGGGGGGCTTTGACCCCAAAACCCCCAAACAAATAGCATAATATACAACATAATAAATTTATAATTTACTTCTAATCACCTTTCCCATAAAATGATAAAATCACTCAATGACAAATCAAATGAATATCCAATGTTGTTACAATTTGAGCTTCAAATTATTATAAAAATTCAATTTAACTTTCTGGTAGACATTTTTTTTTATATAAAAATAGTCAAACTTATGATGAATCTTGTATTAACTTTTCAAATCTTAAATATAAAAAGGAAATTTTTATGAATTTTTAGCTCAAAATAATTTGTGATTTTTCGTGATTTTTACGAACTTTATCGAAGTTCAAACTTCAGACGAAGCACATAAAAAATTATTGCAGATCTACGCTCAAATTTTTTTTGGATATCCACTTACAACTTATGAGGAATTTTGTGTTACATTTAAAGTTTTTTGATACAGTGAACATTTTTGAAAATTTAAAAAAATAACTTGTACAAATCAAAAATTTGGTAACTAACGACTATAGTCCAACTACATGCCTCCCTCCAAATTATGCTTAAGGTCCCCAGTCAAATTCTAAATTTAAAAAACGTGATGTGTTTGCAATCGCATATTTTAAAACATTTTATAGGCTAACCCAAAACCAAAAAATGTTGCACTGTTGGCCCCTGAGTAGTAAAAGTAAGTTAAGGTAGTTTAATATTTAATACAATTTTATTTTAACCGAATCTACAGTCTACACGACCACAGCCCTCTTATCTGAATTTTATAAAATTTAATTTAATGAATACATACTTGTATAATAGTCGTAGTTATTTATACTATAGTAAGTTATTTATCAGTAGATCTTTAATCAAACATAGTTATGTACATAACTATGGCAGTATTATTTTTATACGATTAAATAAAGTGCTGATGATATACTTACTCTTCCGCTGCGGTGATTGAACATGTCCCAAAGTGGTATGAGTGCACTGACATTTTCGGACGGGTTATCTGAGCTGGGAACTGTATTTTGACGTGACATTAACGTTGATACTGCCCACCTAGAACAATATAATACAATTATAGACTACTAATTTTTAATCCTTATATTGTTAAAGTAAAAACAAACTGTAAAATAATATAATATATTCGAATATACACACACGACGTTAATTTACATATATAATGTGAGACGTGTATTATTTCAATTTAAATTTATATTTTCTTTTGACTGCAGAATCATTATAAAAAGAAAACAATTTAAACAAGTAAGTGACGATTATTACAACTATGGTGATTTGTCTGCATATGTAAAATGTGTAAATAAAATAGTCCAATTACAATATAAATCCTATGACCGATGGATATTTTTCGTTATTTACCACCCAATTTTCAGTAGCCCTGCTGCAAGTCTCGTGAAACGATGTCGTAGGTTCACACAACAAACAATCTATCCTATACCTAGGGGCTATAAAAGCAATATCAAGGTTACACGGATAGGTATTAAACTAGCTATAACTAGTCCCTCTGGGCTTAGCTCCTACCTTACTAAAAGCGCCACAAGAAACAGCAGGCGTAACAAGTGATCTCCTTACACCCAATGACGAGTGGCAGATAACTGCATACTACAAAAATAATTAAGATGTACCTACCCATGCAATTATGAAGTAAATAATGGAAAGAAATGATATAAATTCATAATTTTGTAAAATTCCATGTTGAATATATTCAAAAGAATACATTAACGTCAATACAATAAAATATAAACTAATAATACAATTTATACTACAAAATTAATAAGCATTTCTAATTAAATCTGCTAGTTTTCCCATTCATGTAAAAAATATGACATAACACCATTACACACAGTGTTTTTTATACTTTTATGGAAGACAAATAATGTATTCCAAAATAATATAATTGTATATACATAAAATAAAATAACTAAATTTTGCTAATATTACAGTCAACTAAAGGAAGGAGCTACCACCCCAGGATTCTTGCTTGGGTCATTAAACGTAATACATAAAATATTTAAAATCATAATGCCATAAGTGTTAGGTCAAACGATAATCATTGAATGACAAAGCAATATTTTTATTTGTGTTGAACATTTTAATTAAAACGCACTTTGTTCAAACATTAGGCATACGCATTTACAATGAGCCCGTATAGAGTCGGTTAGTAGATTAAATTTACTCCAAAATAACCATCTAAGTCTTTTGTTTAATATCTACTGGCTACCATATAATATTAGAATACCTTGGGGATAACGGTAGATTCGTCTAAATAATTTAAATTAAAATATTTCAAAGATTCATTATCAAGTTGCATACAGCATTGTACATTTGTACATGTACCAATTGTCCTATGTAATAAACATATTATACACTGGATGATTATTTTGACAGTTAACTATCACAAGTATTTAAGTTTTTTAAATGAAAATGTTTATAATATATAAAAATAAAAATAGAATTTTAAACGAGTAGGCAACTATTTGTAGAAATAATTTTAAGTGTTTTTCAACATTTTTTGGGGTACATTTATATTCCACATTCATCCACTCAACTAAACGTTATGAATATGTAGGTACTTATTACTATAGTATTGTTTGGTATTTATTTCTAATTATGTTAAATATTTTAAAATACTTAAGCGAATTTTGAGATAGTGAGTGTTGACGGTTGAAATTGTGAAATTGCGAATTATTATAGTAGTGAATAAACGTATACTAAACATTAACATAGTATCAATACATTTAAAAATACAAAAATGCAGTGCTTTAAATTATTGAACACCTTTGCAGATGTTTATGCTCACTATTAAAATAAAAATAATTGTATACATAACTAATATATTGATGAAAGAACATATTGTACATACTACATAAGTTACCTTATCCTTATGTATTGTACATAGCTAATTATAAGTATCGACTGAGAATACTCATAAATTATTTAATGAAATGAATAAACCAGAAATTGTTCAACTGTCCCCACATCGTGAAAAATGCTAAACGATTCAAAAAAATTAAGACGATTATTACTTGGCTTACAATTTTATATGATATATCTCCGAATAACAATAATTAAAAAATGTATAGGTCCAATTTACACATCCAATTATTATTACTTGAAAAAACGGCTCTTTAATACGTATATAGTTACATTATTTTTAGTATCAACATATATTAATTCATCCCTTATTGTACCAATTGACTGTTTACCCAAATTTAGTCGATGAACACAAATATAATACATAATACTTCAATGCAGACGATATATATGTATATATACAACATAAAAAGTGTGTCTCGCGGATGAATTGACGATAAATGGCTCAAAGGGTCGAAACGTTCGTACAAGTAGAGCCGTATAGAGTGGTCATAACTATAATAAATAACGGCGTTCGGTGGCACGCGATCGAATATAAATATTGTTGCAGACAGAAGGAGTATGAGGTAGACTGGAAGTGGTACGGACGTTTATATATACATCCTGTCATAGAAATACTGAAACACAATTCTTCAGTGAAAGGTTATTTACTCGTGTCTCGTGTTCGGTGTTTGTTCGCGCCGGAAACTATCGCGGGCATGTGCCAGTGCGCGTTTTTCGTTTAATGGTTCATGGTGTTAGTAGTAGTACTGCTACCTGTGAGCACGATTCAACAGCATAGGTGTGATAATTTTATAATTAACGGATAATTATTGTCGTAAGCGCCGGCATAATAATATTATATTTAGGTGGATACACGAACACCACCGCAGTGAACGACATCATCATCGTTATGGATACACCGGGAAGCTCGTCGGGAAAACACTGAGGAAAGAAAAACTGCAGGTGCAATAATTACAGGTTCGTCGACTAAAACATTAAAATACGCGATTATATACCTATACCTTTTATTTATCTATCTTGGGACTTAGGTTGTCTCATGCCAGCTTTTGTTATGGCTCGTGTGATTTTTGTTGTTGGCATAATATAGGTAATAACGGTTGGTTAAATTTTTTTCAAACGAAACAATATGACAATACGTGGGTAACAAAATATTTGCTGCAGTACCTAATAAATAAGCAGACTTTTAAAATGTTGATACCATTTTTTTAAGGAAATAAATGCATTAGAAATATTACACTCACAATAAAAATATATGAAATTACCAGTACCGAAATGCACATAAAAATGTACTCAATCTAAAATGTAGTCAAATATCAAGACAAAAAAATTATTGAAATATAATATATTTGTTTTAATTATAAAATAATTATATACCTATATATTTAAAGAAATTATTAATATGTCTTATTACATATTACTTTTTTACCCTATAAATGACGTGGTGATAACAAATTACGTTAAAAGGTCCTTTGATAAAAACTTCCATCATATTCGTATTATTAAGACTAAAAATTAAAAGCTTATTCAATAGATACATAATATTGTATTCTCTAACAAATTGAGAAAAAAATTCTAATAGCTATAATCAAACGTTAACCATATTGATGCACGCAGACAATTGAAGTTATATAGATTAATATTGTTCTCTTATTATTCTCTCACAATTAGATGAGTTGAAAGTTATCATTATACATTAATGCATTGATATTATATATTTTTTTGCATCATCACTCTACTTATGTTTATAACTTTATAAGCATTTTCGAAAGAAAATATTTCAAAAATACAAAATAATCTATGGTTATGTAATATTATAGTTTAGATGGATTTATTTTTCTTTATAAATTTGAAAATAAATAAAATTTAATAACTCAACGTTTCGTAGTTATATTTTGTTTATAACATAATTTCTAAAATAAAATATATAAACAAATTGAAGTTGAATAATAATCAAAAAAAAAAAATGCGAACAGATAGTTTTTTTTAATTGAATGAAATTGTTCATCTTTAAACTTGATTCTGGAACGAATAGTCGGAAAAATGAGGAAGTATGTATTTTACGACGGACGCGGTTGGCGGAACAAACTATTAACAGCGCTAAGAGAGTTCCGCGTTATGTGATTAATCAAAACATAATGAACGAACACCTCATTTTAGAGACGATTTTGTTAGAATTCAAATGTTATTAGTTATTACCCAATTAAATGTATTTTAAGTGCAAAATGATGAACGATTTACTTTCTAAGAATTTAATAAAATGTCATCGTATTGCATGGGTTCGTAATATTATGTTTTTACTATCAATTTAATAACAAAATACTATTAAGTAACATAATATTGATATTGTATATTTCATTATACTTGAATACTAGATAGAATATTAAATTTTGAATTATTATACTTTTGATGCGATATTTTTTAAAGTTGACTTCTGATTATAATAGTATATTTTAACTGAATGTGTAAAGTTGTAACTATTATAAGTAACTAGCTGTAGCACCCGACTTTGACCGGATTAAAATTAATCTATTTTTCTTTCGTTTTCCGTTTTGCTTCAGTTGAAATAAATAATACAAACACGATTAGGTACAATGATTAATTTTATGATTTTCCACTTCTTAATTCAGGACATATTTTTGATATTAACACAAACAACTAGAGGATAGATTCGACTACTTCTTAAAAGCCAACAAATATCGAAATATCCAATATAATTTTAAGATTGGTACTCGTCTTCAGGGGTTTACATAAAAATATATATCTAGAATTAAGAAAGCAAATCATAAAATTAATCATTGTAGTTTTTGTTTTCATATATTTGATTTTAAGATAAGTTTTATTTATGAATATTTGTAAAGATATTTATATGATATATTTCTATTAATAATTGTATAGTAATAGAATCTGCAACCATTGATTACCATTTAAATATACAAACAAATATTCGATATTCAATAGCCATCCTATAGCAAGCAACAGTGGTTGTAAAAATAAGCTATTAACACCCTCCGATTCTCAAAGAATCTATTGATACAACCTTAATTGAAAACTGTTAATTAGTTTTTGATTATCTTTATAATATAGGGCAAAGAAACATTCATTTCTATATCGGCACATAGATGGATGAGTTTTGACATTCCAATATAAGCTCGAATATAAGGTTACTCATTTTTGTTATCAAACTCAATTGAATAACTTACAATTTATAAACATGTCTGATTATGTCATATATAAGCTAGTTTCGCTCAAAATCGTTTTGAACTTAAAGTTTAAAAGGAGATACTACATTTTTATAAGAATGTTTATAAATTATTTCCCTTTTGAATGATTCATAATTTGATCATTAGACACAATCATTTTCAATTATAACGTCGTCGAACACATTTCAAATCATCATTATATTAATTATACTTACACATATACATTACAAAGCATAGTAATTGACATGGGTGTATTTCTTACAAACATACTGGTCCCTGGATAAAAATTATGTTAAAAAGAAAAAACAAAGTTACTTATAAATTAGAGATACATTGTGTTGTATAGGATTGCTTTCTAACTCAACTCCAGCACCTTTAGACATTTAAATAAAATAATACTATCATTTCGAATACTTGCGCGTCAGTAGAGCATATAATAGTACTTATTCTTAGTGGATGTAAATCGAAGTGTAAAAACAGTATGGAATGATGTTTATTACATCAATAGTATATATTGTGAATTTTTTCGAATAATACTTTTGAAACATATACAAATTGGTAATATTTTCTATCAAAATTAATCATTAAAAATTATAGAATTTGTCACGCTTATTAAGTAGCCGTCAATATAATCAAGTCCCGGCACATCATCATAAGAAATTCGACAGAAATACTAGTTAAAATGCAACATTTATTATTTCGACGCATTATATAATAGGTGGGTATACATATTTAATGTACACTTAATCGTATACAATTAGCCGTACCTAACGCGTGCATAGATTCCAAGTCAAATACTTTTTTACCCTACAAAATAAATGTGTATAAAATTATAAACAATATGAAGATATTTTTATGTTTAGTAAACTATTATTATCTTATTTCTCTTTTAAATCCGGTTTAGTATTGATGTTAAATACCTCACATAAAAATGTATCCTACATAAAAATACTGACAACTATAATAAAACTACTTTCATATGTATATACTATATATACATCAAACATAAAACAATTAACTACCTATATATGTGTCAATTAATCGTATATAACTTGTATTTCTCTTCATAACACACAAATAGATAAATATTTTCTCTGATTGAGTTTCCTAGTTCAAGATTAATGTGAATAAAAAAAATTTACTCACATTAGATTTAAAAATAATTATATAAGTAATGAAATTAAATCAAAAGAAACTTTTCTTTGATTAGTCATTAATCATTATTTATTGTTTTATTTATATTTATATAGTGTAACAATAATAAAATAAGCAATAACTAGAAAAAAAGAAATTGTAATCGACGTTGTTTACGCCATGTACCTATTGCAATTTGTAAAAACACAAATTTAGAATAAACCTATATGATAAACCGTATAAAAATATAGAAAATAATTGCAGTATCAGATATAGGTACACCTACTCCGTGAAGACAGAAATAACTAATAAGCGTTCTAAAATCTCCTATATTTTTTAAATTAAATGTTTTTTAAAGTTCTGTATCAAGTAGACAGTTTTCTAATCAAACCACATTTTGTTCAATTTTACACAAACAATTGTAGTTGCATAATAATAGGCAGAACTTTCTTGATTATTAATTAGTATGAAAGTAAAAAATATTAAAACTATCATTAACTTTATAATGAGACCCAATTAAAATTGTATACAAAACATTTTCTGGTGTTGAACACAAGACGGATAAGTAAAACCACTTTCTATGAGTTAAAACAATAATAATATGTAACTATTTGCGAACAGTTCCAGTTAATTTCTTAAAAATAGTTAAAACTGTATTAATTAAAACTGTAAAATTAATTTAATTTAATGTGTATTGCTAATAAATAAATACAGTACAAAGTGTTTCATATCTCCATAAATATACAGAGTCATCAACAAAAATAATTTATCTACTGATTTTTTTTTAAATTTATCCTCGACATCAGTGGTTATTAGGAGTAATTTACAGACATTATTTACTTCTGGTCACCATTCAGGATCAAAAAGAGAATTTATAATTGTTTATCATAATCAGTAATAATTGTAATATCGTCGATATTTTATAAAGAAAAAAATCTAAATTTACAATCATAATTAATAACTAACAAACATCATTCATCATACAGTGAGTTTGAAATTAATCACACCGAGTACGTATGGGAGGGACAAGACCATAAGACATAATGTACCTATACAAATCTAGTCAGTGCAAGCGATGAGTGCTCTTTGAATGAAAACCGTGCAGTGTTTCTATAATATAATTGTATAATATAACAGTCCTATAATAGTATTATATCATAATGGTCGTGTATAATATAGACTTGGAGACTCATGGTGTTCGAATAAAATTGTGACGAGTCTTCGAAACGCCCATTTGCGTTAATCTATCCGACTGGATGATATACCAAGCGTTCTGTACAACAGGTTGTAACGACAATGTGGTGCTAAGTATTTTTCTTTTCGAATTCCGCGAACATTTTCCCACGTGGAACAAATGCGCATAACCACGACGCGGCGCCTCATCCGTTTGTTCATGGTATTTGAATCCGTGCTAAATGCGGATTTCCGATTTTAGCACCGCCGCGTTTATTCTCTAAAGACGCCTCTTATAATTGATGATGGATGTTTTGTATTGACGGGATTCGGAAATTGAATTAAAATGTAAGAAAAACGAGTATTTTGCTTTCGATCAGGACCAGTTTCTCGAGGAAACCTGCGGGTGAAAGTGCTGCGGAGTACTTTTAGGAATACAATATAATCCAC